AAACTTAACCAGGGAAAGTTTAGATTGGATATAAGGAGGAAATTCTTTCCTGTTAGGGTGGTGAGGCACTGGAATAGGTTGTCCAGGGAGGCTGTGAATGCTTCATCCCTGGCAGTGTTCAAGGCCAGGTTGGACGAGGCCTTGGGTAATATGGTTTAGATCAAGGTGTCCCTGCCTGTAGGGGGCTTGGAACTCGATGATCTTAAGGTCCTTTCCAATCCTAACTATTCTATGATTCTATGAATATATATCAATAATTTAATTTGTTTAAAACAGTAGAATCTGTATCATCAAGATTCAGCTGCTTGAACAAAAAGAAAAATGTTATGGTCTCTAGAGATGATGAGAGAGAGAAGACAGAAGAGTTACACTTCATCCATCACATTCGTTAGTCCATTACCCATATTGATCCTTCTTTTACTAAAGTAAATACCATATGGTGTTGAACATCTTAATGTAAAGCTCAGTAAGGAATCCAGTTAATGACAGCCAACAGGAGTAATTAGGCTGAAAACACAGCTAATATACATTCACTTTCATATATCTGGGGCCAGCAAAATGACTGTACTGAATTGCAGATGAGATGCAATCCTCTAACTAAAAGGAAATCGAATGATATATATGTAACTGGCTTTGTACGGAAATAAGAGTTGTGAATAAGCCAAATAATCCAAATAAAAAATACCTATTCAGCTCTTCATCTGGAGAAAATTGCCAATTTCTGACCCAAGCATCCAGCCCTAGTGTTCATTTTTTAACACGGATCTGGTATAAAATAAGGAATAGGCAATCATAACTGAGACCAAGTACAGCTACACTCAAATGATTCCTATGCATAAAGCTACTGGAAAATATCAGGGGCAAAATTAACTGCTAATGATTTCATAATGACAGCCACCAGCTCTATTAGCCTAATGGTCCATAGCAGCAGAATACAACTGCAATGCAGTCTGGAGTTTCAGATAGTGCAGGCCAAAGTTCCAGTTAGTGTTCATAAGTAAACTGCTGCCACCTGTCCTTCAGGATTAATCCTGCTTGTAACAACCTAGAGGTAACTTCCAATCAAAGCAAGGTTTCTGATCAGGGTTGTATGAATAATAATTCCTATAGTTAATATGCCAAACTAGGACTCTAAAAAGAAATTCAGAGTACTCCAGATTTTAATTTGTTTTAATACTTGCTGATAAAATTAAAAAGCAGGGAAAAAAATATATTGAAGTACAGCACTCTCATTTAACATAAGCACAAAGTTGTATTTAAGAGATTTTGAACCAACAAAGGTTTATCTTACTTAAACTCAGCAACAAAGGCTTTTTTTTTTTTCTTTTTCTTTTTATTCTGTTTTGACATGGTCAAAGATATTTGACTTTCAAAGATATATAGTTGCAGAGGGGAGGGAATTCAATAAATTCAACATACAAACTACCGATAAAAATATATAGTCTGAGAAGTTCCATCAGAAATTTTTGCTCAGACTTCACCAAATGCCTTCAACTGCACCTTCGTATGTCTGCAAAGATCAAACATCCAGTACTGTCTTTGTCGTGCACACTTGTATGACCTGTTTTCTGATCTCTGTTCTCATCAGTTTCATTACCCTCTTTACCTCCTGATCATTGCCAGTCTCAGATGTCCCCCTTTTTGTCCCACTTTACACTTTTCACACTGAAGGGATTAACTTCTAAATTTGCAACAGACCCAAACATTCTCCACCTAAATATTGTCTCCTTTAACATCACATAAGACTGTCATATTCCCTTCTGGAACTTTTATAAAAAGAAAGTGGCAGAAAGTAGCTCTATTACTGTCAAAGAAGCAATCCTGCATGTTCACGTAATGTTATGGAGAATTTAGTCTACATTTATTAAAAACCTGTATTTGTCACAGCTGTAGAAGCAAAAGGATTTCTATAGCAAAAGAGTATCCCTCTGTGATGCTGCATCTACAAAGACACAAACTAAGAGCGGAAACTACACCATAATCACTGCAGAAACCTCAAGTGTATCAAAAGCAATTCTTCAGAGGCACAATGCTGGAGGTTGTCATGGCAACTCTTCTCACTCCTTCCACTGATTTTTGGCAAACATTTCCAGATTATTTTTTTAAAGCATTTTTACTCTTTGCCTCATAACCCCTTTTCCCCTCTTCACACAATATGAATGATACCACTGAAAGTGAAGACCACAAGTGTACAGTTACTTCACACAGAAGACTGAAGATACATTCAGCCTATACATGGTCTGGGATTTAGGCTATCACAGTCCAGCTATCAAGAAAAGCTCCTTTTTCTTTCTTTTTTTTCTTTTTTTTTTTGTCTTTGTAGAAAACATTGTAAGTTGTTGTTTATGTACTGAAAGACTCTAGACAAGAACCAATTTAAAAGGCCTGGGAACCTGAGAGGTCCATTATGCCTGCAGACAAATTTTATGTCCATAGTCTCCTCTCACACTTTTAATCTAAAAAGCTATCTTGTTGCCCATGCATTCTGAAGTCAAAGTGTGCAAGCGTTCTGATTGGTAACAGAAGCATTCTATGATTCTTAAGATTATGTTCCCAGGTTACCTTTAGAAAATAGATCCAGGGAAAAGGCAATCTTCCCAATCTGCACTGCAGTCACAATTTGTTCCACCCATTCTATTGGCTGTTCTCTTCATGCTATGGCACAACATATGCCAGAAATATTCTAGAGTGCCTGACTGCTCACCAGGTGAAGTTACGCACTTTAAAGCCCCTTTAACTCAATGATGCCCTCAGAGGCATCTCTTGTGTGAGAGACCACGACGCCTTGAATACATGATGCAACCTACTGATAGGATTCCTGATAAGCTAATAGGATTTCTAGCCACAACTTTGAAATACCTGGTTTTGCTGCACAAGAACAATTGTCTTAAACTTTTGACTAAGGTATAAAAGGCAGCATGAATGTGCCATTTATCTGTGCTCAAAGTACAGGGATGAAAGTGAAGAGCTAAGTTTTCCCAGGATCAGAGCCTGCCTCTGGCTACTCTGTGAAGCCCACAGAATGCTCTCCTGCTCCCAGCAATGGGTGTGTACCCATGGGTGTTCTCCCTTCACAGCCAGCTTCTATGGAAAGGGAACCCATTTCCAATTTGAAAGGCAGATGTGAAGATACATGATTTCTATCCAACCTCCTTCTCCAGAGTGTGTCTGTCTCAGAGCACAAGACCCCAATTCACAGTCTTTTGAATACAATTTCATATTAAATTGACTGCATTTTGCATAAAAAAAAAATAATTTATGGCTTGATCTTTCAAGGAATGTTGCTCAAACATGCTAACAGTGCTCTGGGCTATTTTTTTTTTTTTATGTTCTATTTTATTTAAAAAAAAAGTAAAATTATTTTGGAAAAGACAAAGTTCCATCTAGTCCAGTGTCCTCTTTCTGGTAGTGGCCAGACCTCAGGGTGATTCCAGCAACTGTGGACTGCTTTTCCATGCAAACCCAAAGCCTATGTATAAGCTGAGGAAAGACCTCAGTATTTATCAATTTCTGATTTAGGTCCTGTAAGTATTTCACAGATTTTTCTACAATTAACAGTACCCACACAGTCCTACACATCCCCTGAAAACTCAGAGGACTGTAGGCAAATGATGTAAATCCATGCTGGTAGCTTATGAAAGGCAGATACTTCAACTCACATTCAAATGCAAGGAACGCACTTGAGTTTTTAAGCAAATGTCCAGATCATACTTACCATGTTGTAATATCATCCATGAGAGTTAGCAATGGAGGAGTCAGTTACAAAATATTGCTGGTGTATGAAAGAACACACCACATAACATATGTATTAACATCGGACAGTTTCACCAATCCTCTAGAGGAATGTTACAGGACTACCTACTATATTGACCTCTATAATTACTTCAGATCAGTTAAGCTGATTCTGTTATGTTGAATATACCTAAATTTAAATTAAGTACAACCAAAGGTACCAGATAGTATCACTTATATTTGCTAAGATGAAAACAGAAAAATTGTAGGTTTGTCTTACTAAAAATAATACAAAATACATAAGACTCATCTGTACTGGAATAAAGCTGTTTTACAAACAAAGTCTCAGTCCTTCATTCTTTGTACTTGCTGTTTCAGATTATTTCAGAGAATAAAATGCAACACTTGAAGATTTTGTTTGCTAACATTATGCAATTTTCAGTAATTATAAACATTATAGTCCATGATTGTTACCCTACTGCAGTAATTCCTCAGAGCAGATGAGACTTCTTGCCAGCAATGAAGCTGTTTCTTTTAATCATGTGGCAAAGGTTCATGCAGCAAGATTAAAATTCTGAGGCTCAAACCCTCCCAAAGATTTAAGGACACAGTACATTCAGCTATCACTACCTGACTAATTGCTGCAGAATAAAAAATGGGCAAAAGTTCACAAGTTCTGCCATCAGAATTTCTTCAAAGTAAACATCCTATCAACATGAGGTATTACCATACTGTGCACATTCAGTAAGAGCAACACAGCTGCTGCTTTTGAATAGTCAGAGCTCAGACCCTTCCTCTTGCTACTATTTTGTTTTTTCCACAGGAAACAGAAGTGGATTTTTAGGTAAGAATTTCAGACTATACAGATCAAGAGTAACACATGGACCAAAATACACTCCCAGAGCACCTGTACAATGTACTGTTATGAAGCATACCTCAACAGGCACCTGGCTGCCATTCCAAACATTTCTTAAGTATATCTTAATGTAGAAAATGTTACAGAAATCTAAAGGCAATAAAAGTGCTAAATAATTACAGTGAAGCCTATTTCTAAAACAAAAATTTTAGCCTTTTGTACCCCTTTAATGGACAGAAGACTGTCAGGCACAACACATTAGCATCTTGAGGGGCTGGGGAACACAACCTGAAGCTCCTTAGTGAAAATGCAGCAACTATAACCAGCAAATTGGACAGAGATTAAATTAGCTAACTGCGACCAGAATGGAATGGAACAAATGCCAAGATATTGCCAACAGCTAAAAAACCTGTTAAAAAACCTGTGAAGATTTTACTGGTCTGTTAGGGCAGGTTTAGGAACGTATTTGTCAAAGTACACATTGCACCGCCTAAGCTGGCTACTCTTCACAGCTAGTCACTAGTGTGAAGTAACAGCATCGCTCTTCTCTTGAAGCAAGTGTGTGCTGGAGTCAGGGAAAAGGCTACAAAAAGGATAAGTAAATATTTTACATGAGCAGCTGACTTTTATATTTCAGGGTGAAATCTCACTCCTGCTGTTGAGAGTTTGGGTCTTAGTGGTTACAGAGAAAAAAATAGGAACTGGGACACTTCTATTTTTGTAAATTACAGTTTCATTATTAACCATACAAAAATAGTAAAGCTGGAAAAGTTTGTATGCTGTACACAAAAGACTAGGTAGGTATGTTTATTTCTGCAGCTAGAGCTGAGAATGGCAGAGCGACACAAAATGGGGGAAAAAAAAAAAAAAGGGTGTGAATACATTTACTCATAAATGATGTTCTCTCAAGGGCCAGCATAGGACCTAAAAGCCATGTAAAACAGATGGAAAACCTAAGCTTTATGAGCTTCATATCACCTAAATAATGAATGAGCTTATGTCAATATTCTGCCCGTATTATGCAAAAGGCAGGGACTGGACTTGATCAACACTAAAATATATCGCAGGTGGTATGGTAACTGAAAACTCTATTGCTATTAAGTCAGTTGCTGAAAGCTGTATTCAGTGCACTGTCCACTGCTGTGCAGCACTGCAGTGCTGTGCTGCTGCTTCTGCTGGACAGAAAGCACAGCTAGTAACAGAAGGTGAGAAGAGCGCACTAGAATACACACCTTATGTGTATAAAGAGAGAACTGTTGCATGTACATAAACACGTTAGTTCAGGGCTGGGCTTTTTCCCTTTGTGTCTTTTCATTTACAGTAAATCTAGAGATGCTGTTGTGTCAGATGGTTAAAAAGCTGTCATGCTGTATTGCCTCACTTTTTCATGGGCTATTTAACATAGTAAGTACAACGCATTACTGTGTTCAACACGAATGTGCAAGAAAGCTCTTCTGCAAATTCAGCACACTTGTTATTATACCATGTACAAGACAGATTTCTAGTTGTACTTATAACCTTCTTTATGGTCACTATCCAGCCACAAGAAAACTGAGAACAAACAGTGCTACCATAATACAAAATTCACAAGGTCTAAACTCCACTACAATACAAACTTAACAACGATAATCAAATTTGCTTTAAAGCTTATTCCTCCATTGTCTGTCTTTTAAACTTCTGAAATAATTTTGTATGCCCACTAAAGATGTAAAAGTAAAAAAAAAAAAAAAAAAAAGCGGGGGGGGGGGGAGGTGTAAAGATACAAAATCTCTTAGAAAGCAGTACTGTATTCCTGCTCAGATGCACTCGTGGGTAATGAAATAAGAAGTCTAATGGGTTACTGATACCAGACAGTATTCTACTAAAAGATGTTACAAAAGAATAGGATTGATATGATGTGGCAAAATTAATAAGCACATGATAAAAATCTGTAAAAATACAGTCTTTATAGTCAATAACATTGTTGCTACTGAGGCATCACCTGCTGGAAGATAAGTGAACTTATTTTAGTAGGTCTATGTTGGAACCTACTTGTGTTTTTGCAGGCTATTAATAGGAAGGACATGAGTTTCTGCAGTTATCTTTTGGCATCTAAATAAGCCTAGTGGATTTAAACTCTGCTTTTTTTCCTGCATAACCTAAAAAGAATACAACAAACTCCTTCCTTGATTATACCAACTAATCATTCAACCTCTTAAGGAAAACAAGAATACAATTTGTTGTGATATGAAGATAGTGTATTTCAAAGAAAAAAAATTATTCATTTATACAAATGAGGCCTGACTTTATCTGAGGGGGAAAGATACAATGGTCATGAAAAACCTGACAACCACTTCCTGATTTCACAGTAAAAAACAATCAGTGAACCAAAACCATGCCAAAGGAAACAAAGAATGCATCACAAGTTAACTTGTAAATGCAAGTCAGCTACCTTTGAGAAATACCAGATCTTCAGGTCTTTCTTCAAACACTGCAAATGGTTGCTTATAATGAGAAAGCAATGGCTGAGAATATCTCAATGTCTCTCCTAAAAGAAAAATGGGCAAAAATATGCATTTATATCTACATTGTGTTCACAGCTTACATATGTATCTATTGAGCATTTATGCCATTACAGGTTTAACACCACAATCACAATGCAGTGTTAATCATTCAATGTGATGTTATGCAGTTTCCTGGTACAAATGAGCCCCGATTAAAGCCATTCTCTTTTAGGTTCCCACCACATGGGACCTCTGTTCTGCTAGTAACATTTTCTTCAGGTAGAATGCTGCACTGTAGCAGCCAATCTATAATCACCTCCCTTCACTGTAAGCACTGGGAGCACCCCATGCTTTTACACATTTCAGTGTTTCGTCACACAGATTGATGCTGAATGCATGCACTCACCATTTCCTTGTAAAACCTTCATATAACAAACAGTAACTTGGATAAAACCACATCTTTGAGAAGAAGGGGGAAAAAAAGAAATGTTCTGAAGGGAGGGCAAACACTTTCTTTCAGGAGCATAAAGCTGTCACGACAGGTGACTCATGTTGGGTTGTGTTAGTCATGTCATGGCACGTTGCATAACCAGAGGCAACTGACACAACATAAACTGACACATCCCAACCTAGCTCCTCAGCAGTGATATGCATAAAGATAGGCTTTTTAAAGAAAACACAGGGAAGAAAGGATTGTGGGGTTTAAACACACACACACAAAAGAAAAAGGTGTGAAACATTCTGCTGAGAGTTATATTTTTGCAAGGATGCATTCTGCTACCCATAGTGGTTTTTTTTTGAGGGCTTGAATTAAGTAAACTCATTGATCTGCATGAGGTAATGAGCTGAACCCCCAAACCAGTATAATGTCGTTTCTCGGCAGCAAATCTGGTCATACATATGTAGCAGCTCTGTAGTTTTCCTTTAGAAACTACACTGGTATCTGCTCTCTAATGACCTCGCGATGTTCCTCAGGTTACAGCGTTAAGTGCATATTCTAGCAAAGTAACCCGCAGCAGAGCAGCTACTGCACCGCTTTGCAGAGCCCGCACCTGCTGCCCCCTGTTCCCCTTAAGTTCCGCGGGCAAGCTTTGGCACCTCGCACCCCGCGCAGGCGCCATTTTGGAACTGCGGACGGACACCTTTACCGCTTGCCTTTCCCACCCACCTCGGGACGGCAGCTTGCACGCCTGTGCAGGAAGGACACGGTGACGCCGGTCACCCCGGTCACGGGGGTACGGGGCAGCGGAGGCTGACGGTGGGGCCTCAGCGCTTCTCCCCGCGCTCTCCTCGGACATGCAGCCCCACCGCCGAACAGGGGGAGCCGGCACCGCCTCGGCCGCTGAAGCGGCCGGCAGGGAGGCGGCCGGGGGAGCGCGCTGGGCGGGAAGGTGCTGCCCGGCGTCCCTGCGCGGATGGTTTGCCTCTAGCTGAGCCTGCCGCTGAGGCGGGTGGTGCCCCTCTCGTGAGATCCACGAATCGCAGGATTCACGTGGCGCTGCGATTTACGAAGTGTGGGGTGCAGCTGGGCGCTGAGGGAAGAGCCTCAAGGTCTGCACCAGCACCTTTGAAGGGCCATGGGGGGAATCATGGAAACAGTGAGGTTAGAAAAGACGTTTAAGATGGAAGTTCAACCTCTACCCCAGCACTGCCAAGGCCACTAGCGAAATCGTGGCACTGAGGGCCTCATCTACATGGTTTGTGAACGCTTCAAGGATGGTGATTCCACCACTGCCCTGAGCAGCCTGATCCAATGCCTGATCACCCTTTGGGGAAGGCATTTTTCCTAATACCCAGTACAAATGACCACACTTTGGCTATCTTAGGCCTTTCTGACAGCCTCCTTTACATCTCAGGCTAATACATGTACATAATAAAATATGTACTTTGACAGCTCCCAAATTCCTCCTATTAGAATGACAACTTGAAATAGTTAATCATTACTACTATTTCTGGCATCCTTACTGAGTTCCACAAACACAGGTAAACGTATTTAGAAGGCAGACTGGTGGAGGCCAGTTTGCCTCATATGTTCACACTTCTGAATATACAAAGGTTTTTTGTTGTTTTTAATTAAAAATCTGACTTCTTATATAATCTCTTTGGAGGATCATAGTTAAATGCTGAAATATGATTAAATAAGAAATAGCACTTAAATGCAGCTGTTCAAATTGCAAACCAGAGCACACATACCCCTCTAGAGATTAAACCTAGGTCCAGCTGCATTTTCCAAACCTGGAAAGCTACAAGCCTTTGCATTAGCACACAAAACCACTATTAAAGGTACTTCTGACCCAAGAAGTGAGGGGCCAGGCCTGGGAAAGTTGTTTACCCAGTGCCAACACGCACACAGTTCCAATGCCCAGTCATGGAGCTCTGCAGGAAGGTCAGGGATCAGCGATAAGACAGTGTAGGGAGCCAGTATGCGATACAAGATGCCAAGCCTCAGTGTATTTTTCAGTTTCCCAAACAGCAATGCACTTACCCTCTGTGAACACAAATGCTTATGCAGGATCCCAGTCCAGGTGAAGTTTGAAGAAAATCTGAAATCAGCCTGAATGCTTGCAGAAAACACAGCTGTTTCCAGTGAGAATTTATAGCACAACTGTTTCAGCATACAGAGAGAGACCTGACTACAATTCTCCTGCCCAGGTAGAGATTTATTTATTAGGACATGAACGAGATCTGGACAACCAACATCATTGTTATCCACTGATTCCACTATGGGCCAGCAGGTCTCTCAGGACATTCTTTCAGACGTCCTCAGGCCTTCATCCTTCACACACTGATTGACAAAAGCAGCCCATATACTACTGCCATACCTTACATATAAGCAAATTTTCAGGGGACTTTTCAACCTCAGATGTTTAATGACCAAGACAGTTCTGCCACTGGGATCATGCTTTGTACCTACAGTCTTTATACTGCTTTAGCCTTATCAGAAGTATGATATTCAACCCACAACATACTGGAATGTTAATGTACAAGTAGACATGCCGGAGCCGTAACTGGCATGAGACATTCTTCCCAGCAGAGGCAAGCATTTGGAAGGAGGGGGAGATTTAAGTTATGGGATGCTTCTTAGAACACAGGATGCTGCTTTCAACATGGGAAGCAGCGGCAGTCATGGAGGTGAAGATCGACCTTCTCATTTGCAGTGCCCGCCACAGACCCACCTGTGGCTGGGTTTGCATACCTCAGCTCCTCCCTCCTTGCCTGCAACATTATAAATCTGGTAGCACTTTTTTAATAGAAATTAAAAATTCTTAGTGTGAAAAGAGACTCTAGTGTTTGCAAGTAACATGACATCTATGTTGTTTCCACTTAGACTATACACAGTAGCAATTCTCAGAATTATAATTTGTTACAGTAAAAGAATTGTGGACCCTTATTTACTAATCACATTCATTTTCTTTCTTCCCCTTACGAAACTTTTTCCCAAATCAGAAGCGCTGTGTCTTTAAAATTCTCTAACACCCAAAACATTGTGAGGGCTGTTCACTTTTGCTAAGCAGAAATTAATTGCACAGTTAGAAACATCCTTCCTATAAATCACTACCTTGGAGGCTATCCATTTTAAAGCCCATGTTGCTCAGAAGTAAGATGCATACACCCATTGTGTGCTTTCCTCATCCTTCTATCATGTGCCCAGTAAACCCGTGGACAAGTACAGGTGTGTATTTGATCATCTGTACAATAGCACTCTTCATTTCCAATCATGCTTTTGAAGATGCATGATAACTTGAGCAAAAATAACCTGAAACAAAACTATGTCACCCTCACATAAGATTTCATCATGCTTTATAACAAGAGAAGCCCCTGAGAGAAATAGCTCTCCTTTGGTTTATTTTCTAGTTTTGGTATTTGAACTTGTAACAGAGAAGAAGAAGAAAAGCTGTGGCAATGTGATCAGCCCAACCTAAGGGCAGTGTCTTTTTACTCATCAGGCTATATTTAGAGCTGTCACTTCTTAAGAACACTGTCACCCAAAATGAATTTATAGAAGAGGCTTTGCATTACACACATGGCCTGAAGCACTTATACTGCAATGAAAATAAAAAAGAAAGTGTGATTTTATAGTCTAATATTGGCTAATTTGTACCAGTTTTGTACAGATTTTAGCACTGAGATTAATATGCTCTGTTGCTAAGGAGCTCCTCTTACATTTAATGCTTTAACAATGTGTTCTTGCTTAAAGTGGTATATATACCAAAACACTGTGCTCTTTTGCAGTCAGAAAGATATTAATTTCAAGATATCAACAAATCAAAAATTTCTTCAGTAAAAACAGTGCTCAAACATGGCTTATTCTTTACGGGTTTGGTGTTTGGGTTTTGTTTTCCTACAGCAGGACCTAAGAAAGTTCAAACTTAAAAAAAAGGAGGCATTTTTCACCTTCATATATCACATTCATATAAACACATACAAGAGATTTTATTTGCAGGTGCAGCCCACTGTCTCCTGTCACAGAACCATCTCTTTTCCTGTTTGAAACCTGTGGATACCTTTCTGTACATCTAAAATTCAAGCAGATACTAGGGAACAAAACTGTATGAGCCACAGGTAACCTCAGGGTGGGTCCATTACTAGCTAGGGTGAAAGGCAAAGATGATACATCTGCAGTAACAGGAAGAACTAAGCAAAGCATGTCTTTCCAAATTATACAAGGTCTACTGCATGTTTCAGCAGCTTTATGGCAACCCCATTCCCAGCATGACTAAAATTGACATTCTCCCAAGCCAGACTAAGCACAGGTTTCTACTTTAAGTGCATCTTCCTTATTGCTATTGTATGAGGTTCTTGGTGGTTACTGCAGATGGTGCTTTTAAGGGTGTTTTCAGGGAACCAGGAAGTAAGTGAAATATTACACAGAATGGGAAAAAGTTTTGAGAAAGTGAGCACAGTTTTTCTAGCCTGTTAAGGATAAATTTTCTGCTCACAAGTCTTGTTACCTTGGATTAACATTTTGGGTGGCAGCTTCAAAATCGAGGAGGAAAAATACCATGGAATTGCTGTATTAATACAGATCTACTATCCTACAGTAATG